CTCGTAATATTACGACTTTATTTTTATACAACTTTAATGTTGTAATATTATGACTTTATTCTCGTAATTGAAGTTGGTTAATTCCATTAGTTAATTTTTTAGATGAGTTAAAGTTTAATGTGGTAGTAGCCGGCAGTCATTCACAACACATACTTGAAAGGTTAAATCAGGTCAGATTTCGCAACAATGCAAGGCTACTTTTAGCTAACATTTAGCTACTTTAGCTTTAAGCTAGCGCTTGCTATTTATAGCTTTCAAGTCGCATTTTTCTCCATTTTCTATTTTCGCTAGTGTTCTGCTTCTTTTAGTCCGTAACAACTTAGTTCCTGCTTCTTTGGCAAATTTAAAACTTGTCACTCAGGGTTGTTCTAGCTGTGGTTCGTGTTTTTACCCAGTGGACTTGCTTCGCCGTGGTCGCGCTCCGTCCCACACTGCGGTGTTCGCGCGGTTTCGCTTTGTATCTCCGGCAGTCTGTCGCTAGGGGACCCAGTGCGATGCCTCAGACGGACCAGTGTGTGCTGTGCTGTGTGTGAGTGTAGCAGCAGCTGGGGCACCAGTCGTCGCCACTGCGCGTCGCTGAAGATGTTGCAGCAGCAGCCTCTGACTGGCAACGGGCCGTCCAACGGCCGGGGACTCGGCGTGAGCGGCCACCCGGGGATGCATGCGCTCAACTCGGTTCACCAACCTCCCCAGCACCGGTCGGACGGAGGCGAGTCGGGCCTCGAGGGCACGGAAAATGGACACGAGACCCGCAGAGACATTGGCGACATACTGCAGCAAATAATGACCATCACCGACCAAAGTTTGGACGAGGCACAAGCAAAGTTAGTAACAACTTTTTAAAAAGTTTTTTCTTAATGTTTTAATGTTCCCGGGGCTGCAGCTGCTTTTTTGTTTTGACAGAGCGTCGCTGTGGCAAAGTTTCTTCAACTTCAATCTATTGTTTAGAATGCACAGCAGCTAAATAAACTTAGAAAACCGATTAAAACAAGTTATTACAGGGTTTTTATCTTCAAACTCACATTTTACTGTAAAACAATAAGGCGTTGTGTTTATGTGCAATTAAAATCACATACTTCTTTGAGCGACGGTTGTTTAACGCAGCCTTTGTTAGCCTGCTAGCCTGCGCTAATCAAAGCTAACTAGCTAATGCTACAGTAAACAAGTTAACGGAGAATGTAAACAAAAACTGGTGCCTGTGTAGGTAGAAAATAAATTTTACAAAAAGATAACTCCTGCTCAGCAAAACGTACTGACTGTCGTGTACTGTTAGCTTACCTGTGAACATTTGTGTGCTTGTCTCTTAGCCAGTCGGTTGCTAACTGTTGCTAACCTGCTAAAGGTAGCTGCTCAGATTTTTTGTTTGGCTCTTTTATTCATGCTGTCACCCCGTTTCTGTGTGCACTTTTTTGAGCTGTCCTCTCGTTGTGCTGCAGGAAACACGCACTTAACTGTCACCGAATGAAGCCTGCACTGTTCAGCGTTTTGTGTGAGATCAAGGAAAAGACTGGTGGGTTTTACTGGTATTTACACTTTACTGTGTGGGTTTGTTATGCAGTGAGCGGTTCATCAGTCCGTGTTGACATGCTGTCATCACAAACCAATAACACCAGACACAAACTGAAGGTTTCGTGTCACAAACAAAACTGCTGTTTGATACATGATAATAAAGAATAGCAGCTGAACAAACAGACCTGCAGAATAATCTGACGGAGGACAAAGTTATTGCAACAAAAGCTAATTTAAACAAACTTGTTTTTATTAATTACACTGATTATCCTCCAACTACTTTTTAATAGAACAGAAGAATAGAAATAGCCTTTATTGTCCTCCCAAGGGGAAATTCAGGAGTCACAGCAGCATTTGTACAGAGGTTCACACACTAGTTACTTTACAAACTATAGACAGTGCACAAAAAAACAAAATTAACACTAACTGACAATATGACTACTAAAGGGATCCCCGATTAGTTGTAACATTAGACTTTATTTAATAAACATATATTTTAACTGTAAAATAAAGACTGTAAAAATACTGTAGGCTGTTTAGTTTTTATCATTTTTAAACTAAAAGTTTAAAAATACATTGCACGGATAGGGCCATTTCATTTACATGCAAAGCATTCTGGGTAAATGACGACGTGGGTAGGTCATCGGTGCGAGGCTGCTAGTGTATATCCAACCTGAAGGTTAATCTTGGACAATACTGACTCTTTTAAATGAAACCAGAGAGCGTTGACGGAGAGGAGAAGGAAGAAATGACTCAGCCTGTAACTGAAAATATGGATGGAGGACCTCAGTTTAGCTTGTTTGTTGAGCTAGCACCGAGCTAGCGCAAAGGCTAACAGGCTAAGCTGAGGTTCTTCTTCCATGAAGCAGCTCTGTTGTCCTC